TACTCCAGATGGGGTCTCACAAGAGCAGAGCAGAGGGGGAGAATCACCTCCCTCAACCTGCTGGTCACACTTCTTTTGATGCACCCCAGGATACTGTTGGCTTTCTGGGCTGCAAGTGTACATTGCCAGGTCATGTTGAGCTTCTCATTAGCCAACACCCACAAGTCCTCCTCAGGGCTGCTCTCAATCAATTCTCTTCCCAGCCTGTATTTGTGCTTGGGATTGCCCCAACCCATGTGCAGGACCTTGCACTTGGACCACCTCTCAAGCCTGTCAAGGTCCCTCTGGATGGCATCCCTTCCTGATTTGCCCTTAGTGAAGCCATATTGGCTGTCACAAATCACCTCCTTAATTTCCACGTGCCTTAGCATAGTTTCCAGGAGGAGCTGCTCCTTGATCTTACCAGGCACAGAGGTGAGACAGACTAGCCTCTAGTTCCCTGGGTCTTCATTTTTTTTCCTTTTTAAAAATGGGGTTTTGTTTCCCCTTTTCCAGTCAGTGGGAACTTCACCATACTGCCACGACTTCTCAAATATGATGGATAGTGGCTCAGCAACTTCATCTGCCAGTTCCCTCAGGACCCACGGATGCATCTCATCAGATCCCATGGACTTCTGCAACTTCAGGTTCCTTAGATGATCTCGAACCTGGTCTTCTCATACAGTGGGTGGTTCTTCATTCTCCCAGTCCCTGCCTTTGCCTTCTGCAACTTGGGCAGTGTGGCTAGAGCACTTGATGGTGAAGACTGAGGCAAAAAAGTCGTTAAGTGCATCAGCCTTCTCTATACCCCTGGGCCATTTCTTCCAGAGAGGGCCCATATTTTCCCTAGTCTCCTTTTTATCACCAACATACCTATAGAAGCTTTTCGTGTTGCCCTTGGCATCCCCAGAAAGATTTAATTCCATCAGGACTTTAGCTTTCCTAACCTGGTCCCTGTCTGCTCGGACAATTTCTCTGTGCTCCTTCCAGGCTACCTGTCTTTGCTTCCATCCTCTGTAGGCTTCCTTTTTGTGTTTGAGTTTGTCCAGGAGCTCCTTGTTCATCCATGCAGGCCTCCTGACGTTTTTGCCTGACTTCCTCTTTATTGGGAGGCATCGCTTCTGAGTTTGGAGGAGGTGATCCTTGAATATTAACCAGCTTTCCTGGGGGCCCCCTTCCCTCCAGAGCTTTATCCCATGGTACTCTACCAAGCAGATCCCTGAAGATGTCAAGGTCTGCTCTCCTGAAGTCCAGGGTAGTGAGCTTGCTGTGCGCCCTCCTCACTGCCCTAAGGATCTTAAACTCTACCATTTCATGGTCTCTGCAGCCAAGGATGCCCTTGAGCTTCACATTCCCCACCAGCCCCTCCTCGCTGGTGAGAACAAAGTCCAGCATAGCACCTCTCCTCATTGGCTCCTCTATCACTTGGAGAAGGAAGTTATTATCAACACATTCCAGGAACCTCCCGAATTGCTTATGCCCCACCATATTGTCCCTCCAACAGATATCGGAGTGGCTAAAGTCCCACGTGAGGACCAGGGCTTGTGAACATGAGGCTGCTCCTATCTGTCTATAGAGTGCCTCATCCGCTCGGTCTTCCTGGTTGGGTGGCCTGGAGCAGGCTCCCACTGTAATGTCACCTGTCCCTGCCCTCCCTTTAATCCTGACCCATAAGCTCTCAGTTGGCTCCTCGTGCATCTCCAGGCGGAGCTCCGTGCACTCCAGCTGGTCATTTACATAATAACATAATAACATTGAAATGATAACCAAGTCCAGAGCTTCCGCCCCAGCCAGGCTGTGGGAACCCTGCAGTCAGCACCACCACCCTAGGATCATCCCATGACAGCTAGAAAAGCCTTGTCAAATGCTGTGAATGTCAAAGGAAAAAAAGTAGGACAAAGGATTCAACCGAGTTGCGACAGTGACACGTGCCTGGGCTGGGGGAGGAGGAGGAAGCAGTGGAGCACACAAGTTAAATGGGCCAAGAGCCTGGACACAGCAATGTATCAGCTGCATCACCGGCAGAGTGAAGCTGTGAGAGGGGAATACATCCCTCCCCTCCATCATGTGCGGAGCCCGGTCACGGGAGGGTGCTCAGCTGTGAGCAATGGCTTCCTTTCAGTAAGAGTAACCATGCACAAATTTAATTCTTCTATTATTTTAATGGCCAAGTGGGACTGAGTGAGAGGCAGGAGGCACAGGGCCCTCATTCCCCTGCAAGGGGCAGGTCTTGGCAGCGGCTGAGATGCTGGGGCAGCTCCCACCCCAGCCTCTGCCCTGTAGCTAAGGACCCTTCCTCTCCAAGGAGAGAAAAAGCTGTGAAGATGCTCATGTTATCTAATAGAAGAGAGATCTCAAATGTATCATGACTCACTCACCTTTCAAAGCTGTCAAAAAAAAAAAAAAAATCCCCCAAACCCAACACATCTTAAAAGGTGGAGGAAGGAAATCAAATGAAAAGTAGCAGCTGAAGGTTTGGTTTCTGGTTTGGTAAGTGTGCAGGAAGGCAGCCAGCCACAGGCAAGAGCTCAGTCTGGACAGGCTGTGGTCACTGCCGCACTCCAACCCTGTCCCTGGCATCCATCCGTCAGCCCTGCCGGGAAGGGGAGCACAGCGCTCTGAAACCAAGAGTGAATGGACCCGGCACTGGCAAAGCATCGCCACCGTCTCGGTTAAGCAGAGCGATGTGCCCGCTCAGCCGGAAGGACGGACCGTGACAGAAGCCATTCCCTTGGTACAGCACTGCCTCTCTTGGCCTCTCCTGGGGGAAAGTTTTGGAAAGTTTCCCCAGATGGGGGGAATCTTCTCCTCAAAGGAGCTAACTCTGGAGCTAACTCCCATTTTCCACTCCCCTGGCACAGGTGGAGGAGATGATAGCTCGGTCTGTACAGAGGTGTTTTTATTTGCTATTTGCACTGAAATTTTCTGTTCTCTTGTGATCTGTCCTTGTTATCGCAGCCTCCAGATTAAAAAGGGTTAGATACTGGAATATGCTGTGAGATCTTTGGAGTCACTGAGGGCCATCTCAGGTGTAAAGATGTCCCTCTCCCATTAAAATGTCTCTTTCCATCTTAAAAATGGGGTCTTTTTGCACCTGTGATCTGAATATGGTGCTGGTCCAGAGCCACACAATGTAATAGGATCATCACAGGATGACTCAGGTAGGAGAGGACATCCTGCTTTCAGCA